AAAATAAGAACAAAAAAATATGCACTGCTTATTATCTATTGACATTTTTCTTTGTTTTTGATAGTATGTGTATTAAGATTTCCCACTTTTTTAAAAAATTATCACGCTCTGCGTTTCCTGAATTATGCCTCCTTCAACTGTTTAATACAGATCTTTTATTGTTGATTTTTGATGTATAGCAAAAAAATTTTCTTTGATATTTAGATATGGAAAAAAAAAATCAAAGTTTCTTTATATATTATACAGAAATCGTCATATTAATCGTTGAAACTCGTACGTAACTGATCTTGGTGGTCATGCTAGGTTCGTGAAAAACCAACTAGCGGAGATATAAAAAAGGCACTTATCAAACACCTGGTATAGTTGATTAAAAGAATGTACCCTAAAATTAAATATCAACCTTTTGAGGTGTGAACAAAATCGACAGCAATGGGTGGTTTCTTTGAATATCATTCACTGAATATTCACGGATTTTAGTCATTCATGAATGATATTGAATGAATAACTGAATTTTATATGGACATATGTGAATATTTTTAGCAAATATTCATCGAATATTCTTCAAATTCATGTAACTATTCTAATCCTTGACTATTCACGGATTTTGTATAACTGAACATTCGCTTTTAATTGAATATTCATTTTTATATGTGGATATTCACGAGTCCCATCTCTAAATACATGGTTGGAGTACTATGGCATTACAGCATTCTAATTTACGGTAGAATTAATTGCGGCATAGATTTGAGTGATTTGAGTGCAATTTATATTAATGCTTAAGGTAAAACAAACCTTGTAAATAAGAGTGTATGTAACGATAAAATAACATTAACGTTAAATGAACAAATGCATTTAATAAAATCAAAATAATAATAATGTTGCATATTTATACATTATGATCAAAATTCATTTAACCAATCATGGATTATAATCTTTGCTAGTGGATCTTGGAAGATTAAATAAAATAAAAGCATCAGATAGTATTTATTTGATAGAAGCATTATTAAAACCAAGAAGTTAGCGATACCTATGGTGAAAAAAACATGCACAGATTTAACAAATTCCGATGTCCCAAGAACAATTTTTTTCATTCCAAATATCTAATAAACGTTATAAAATAAACATCTAACTTTCATAACGGGACTATGGAATCATAATCGCGATTGGCACAATCCAATAATCATCTGACAGTTATGCATGCATAAATTTGTCGACTTGGATATGTTGTATACACAAAGTTCGAGAATTCGGGTTGGAATTTGCACGAATCATGAATCTCCAAATTTTTAATATTTAATGCAAGAAACGAGAGTAAGCGTATGATCACATGATTACGTAACATTAATGCCTTAATGAATTCGAGTTTGTCAGAGCATAATAATCTTCGATTGCATCTAAGAATTCGTGATTATTATAATTGGTTAGCCGAAGTTTCCAAGTAACAATTAAATAAATACGGAAAAAGGTTTAATAGTTTATTAGAACAACTAATAGAAAACATTTAAAGGAGCCATTGTAAAATGACATCGCTGTGTGATGTTAATTAACATTAAATTTAACGTTAATCTTAACATTAATAATGGTACACCAAAATTACATATAAGGTAGCTCAAATAATTCGTTGGACAGGTAAATTATGGTATCACACAAACTAATAAGCATTATAACGATATTAGCGACGCGATACGAACCGGTGAGAAACTAGATAAAAGTATATAATTCAGATAGAAAAGAATTTTTTTCCTGCGAATTAGAGAACGAATTTATTTAAGGGCACTTTATCCTAAACATTGTTATTTTCATATTCTCTACATAACATTGTTTTTATTCGTTTGACATTGTGAATAAATGCCATTTGTTATTGTTTGGTTTAAAGGGCTAATCATGATTGTTTCCTGCGCTTGTATATATGTGTACGTATTACAAGACCAACCAACATTTCCGTGAAAATCTGTGACACTCAACTTTTGTTCTTTTGTCGCTTCCGCCAACAATTAGGACGATCGGATTTGAACAGCTCCCGTATATTTTTACCTAATCGCAAACAAATTTTGGCCTTAAAGATTAGTTTGAAATTTTCATCCTAAAGAAAATTGTTCTTTTATTTTATCCTCTCGAAAAGCGATAAAAATCACTTTAAAACCGACCATCAAATTTTTATTTGATGCATTCATTCCTTTGTTACGCGAGGTTATCTTCACGTTTCGTTCTCTCTTTACGCTCAAAACCAATTTAATTTTAGAATACATTATAACTCTTATCTGTTTTCAATCCGTATACGAAAAATTTAGAAATGTCAGATTCAGGAACTATTACACCCTCAACAACTTTGAAAATTGTTGCATCGCATTCTTCATCTCCATCTTCGTCATTACCAACTAATTTTGTTTCGACAATCTTAGTAATAGCAACTTTAGTTATAGTATTAACAGTCATCACAGTTCTTTTGATATTCTTTTACAAGAGGTACCGAAAAAGATGCAAGATGAGTCCTCTATTACAATTTGAAGTGATGCATTCTCGTGTCGTTGTTGTCGACGCCGATGGTAAAAGCGTGGCTGGAGTCAATCGCAATAATAGTTTTGTGAGTTTAGATAGTAGTGGTTCTAGCGGAAAAGACGCGAATAGCAAAAGTAGAATGATAAAGGTGCTTCAATATGATGATGATAATAATAATATAATGGATGGGAAAAGTGGGACTGACCATTCAAAAAATTTGTATTATGAATATTCGTAATATTTATTGATATATTTTTGATGCAATCAATATACGGGACTTTTTTTTTTTTTTTGTCGCTGGATTTTGGTGCAAAACTAGCAGGTCAATGATATTTATTCCTTTAAGATCTTGGTTATTACCTTTCTTCGTTTAATGCCATTTCGTTAAATATTAATAGTATATTCAGAACGGTAATAAATTTAAGAAATAAGTTAATAAATTAAATCTATTTAAAGAAATCATAAATTAGATCTTTCATTGCATGAATAATTTAACTGATGGAAATTTATTACGTTCGTATCGTATAGTTATATGTGTAATTCGTCTAACAGTATTATCACGTCAATAGAATCAAGTAGATTGACATTTCTAAAAAAAGGTAATGCCTTAACTTTCACTACTTATCTCGATGAAAAAAGTACTCAAAAATAGCACAAATTGGATTGGGTTCATCTTGACCCTGAAGTTGTTTAATTATAGAAAGTACTCTTTTTTCTTTTAGATAGTTTGGTTTCGAAGCTATTTTTATGATTGAGGTATTAAGTTTTCATTTGAGTATTCATTCATGAGAATAGCTTCGAAATTCATTGAGATATGAACGGTGAAAGTTAAGGTATTTATTTTTTTAAAATGTCAATCTCTATTGACGGTAGCTCATGTGATCTTGCGTATGGTGATTATGATACTACGTATAAGTGCTATCTTTTTGACAATAGTTCAGTAAGATATTAAGAAAGTGTAAGTGAAATACCGTATCGTTGCGAAATAAGTTCCGGAGCGTTATTTTGAGACAATTTAAATTTGGCGAAGATTTAAATAAATTACTGTTTGCATTCTGCTAATTAATTCTTAATTCTCTTTAAATTATGTCTAGAAATAACGCCTTGGAGTGTTATTTCACGACGATACGGTAGTTTATTTAATAATTGATTCTTTGGAAATCGAGTTTCTACCTTTTGAATAATAGTAGTAGTACAAAAAATTGCGGAGCGGATTAATTACAAGATATCAGTCATACGATGAAAAATTTTTTTTTTTCATCGGAGTTAATGTCACCTCTGTGCTGCATAGCAACACGCGATTTACACTCTCTGATTGTATTACTGTATCGTAAAGAAATAGCACCCCAAGGTGTTATTTCAAGATACCCAATTTCAATCAAGCTAAGAATTAATTTGGCCAAATCTTTGTAAAAATAAATTTATTATTTTGCTCAGTTAAATCAGTTATTGGCTCACTAAATTGAGTGTTTCAAAAAAACGCACCGGAACATTATTTCGTGACGATATGGTTTATTAGTATTTGACGATTTTGTAATAATACTGTCACGGGCAACAAATAAAACTACTATGACAAATTGGTTTAGAAAAGGAAATGTCGCGCAACATCGAAGGAAGGCAGATATGATTCTGAAATTTTAAGCCTAAAATAGGTCATCATACAAAAATAATAAGCATTATGAAATAAATAGGTATTATTTTTATTCAAGTTTTTTATGCTAAAGAAATACTAATTTTAAAAAATATTTTTATTACTTTAATATTGTATAATGATTTTTTTTTAAATTTTGGATTTCATAGCGTAGTAATTATAATTCAAGTTAGATTAAAAAAGATTTTTGTAATTAGAAGAGGATCATTTAATAAATACAAAATTTTGTAAAAACAAATACAAAAATAGGGATATAATAATTTAGTATAGTGATTGGGTTATTATACTGTATTTTAAATAAAAATTTAAAGTTTAAATTTTATTTACCCTTTTGACAGAAAATTTGTACAAAAGAACAACCAATTTTGTACAGATAAATATTCAATTTTGCACAAGATAATAATAATAACTTGTAATCTGATTGAATAATTTTGATACCATTTGAATCCTCTCAATAAGATAATTCAAATCAGATTACAAGTTATCATTATTTTCTTATACAAAATTGAATATGTATTCATCTTTACAAAATTAGTTGTCCTTTTTTATCAAATTATACAAATTTAATATTTTGATTAAGAGTATAAAATTGTAAGTCATTGAAATCTTGTAAACTCTATCCCTTAAACCATCAGGTTTAGCGTACAAATTTGCACGCTAAAATTTTTGAACGAAAATTTAACTCAAAAAAAAAAATTTTTAATAAAATTTCTAATTTAATTAGTTATATAATGACTTCCAAAAACTCAAGTCACATGGCGCACTCCATAGTTACAGCATTGATCACCTGAACAGGAGTATAAAAAAATGCACGCGATGGCTGAAAAGTATGCTATTTTACTTATACTTTTGAGTCATCTTATCTCTTTACTATTATTTCAAAAAATTGATTATGTAAAGTTGGTAATAAAGAATCTTTAATGTTATATTATAAAAGGTACCTGTGCGTGGCGATTGTGAAGAATTTTAGTATTAAATTTGTCTTATTACGATCAACCAATTTTTAGAATACCGTTGGAGAAATTTCGTGAACTATGAATTATTTGATAACCAACTTGCGGTACGCTTTTAATTTAGCTTAGAAAATAGGAGGGCAAGGCTTAATAAAATTTAGAGTAATTGGACAAAAAATAAGTCAAAAAAGATTTTAGCGTTCAAATTTGCACGCTAGACGGTTAGAAGCTAAGTTCAATTGGGTAAATTTGTATCGGTATATATAAATGTAATATTTTTTAAACTATTTGGATAATAAATTTGCTAGTATAATGCAAAAATTAGCAAATCACTTTTCAAACAATTAGATTCTAAGAATTAGTATATCGATAGTACATATGGAAAAATTAGCAAAATTTACATAGCAGTCATAGGAGTACTTGCCATCAACACTAATACGTACCAATTCAAAATCTTGAAAAATAATCCTATCATATTTGAAGATGGTAACAGCCCTTAATCTATTGATTAATAAAAATAACAACGCTCATATGTTTTATTGCACTCCTTTAATGATTGCCAAATAATATTTACGCCTACTTAGCAGTGTTTTGCTTTTAACATAACTCATACGAGAGATATTAGCATTAATTTCTTAGAAGAGTTAGGACTTATAATTTCTCAATGTCCTTTTTTAAGGTTGACTATTTTCTGAATTTAGAACTTATATGTTAAAATATATTTTATAAGCGAACTTCTTGGGTTACTGATTATTTTTACAGATGAAAATATCCATACGCGACGGATCACATACAAGTATTTATACAGTCATCCTCCTCTATAATCACGCTGTTTGTTTTACATAAAAAGATGTAATTATAAAATTTTGATAGTATGTATAAACCTTTTTTTAATAAATGAACATATAGGAGGTGACTATAGAAGAGGATGACTGTATATAGATTATAAAATAATAAAAAGCGACTTCTGTCATCCTACGGCATCAAGTCGAGAGGTTAAAAAAATTTTATAAAATAAATTTTTACATAATAATTACAACTTCTATTATATAAAAGTTGTATTTACGCTCTCCCCTCGTTATAGAAAAACGGACCCCCATTATAACGGAGTGATTATCTAGAACATTTTAATATTTTTATTATTATACTATATACTATATAATGCTGTAGCGGATATTCATTACAACAGTTGGAACTTCCCTGACTGATCACTCCGTTATAGCGAAGGTAGTGTGTAAACCTTAATTAATATCATGAAAAAATACTGTAATATAAAATATTTTATTATTTCTTTAAATTAACACAATAAATAAAACTTTACATCAAATCGTGAACAGAATTCATGACTACTAAATGTACATATATATATAATGATTATTATTCTTTATTTAAGTGACTTAAATTTATTACCGATTATTTTGCTTGATTGATAAGATAATAAAATTAAGATTCCATAATTAAGCATGTTCAAATATGACAATCTATGCTAAAATTGACTAATGCTAAACTTGGGATCCTATTTAAATCTATCCCTTAAACTATTCTACTATCACTATCATTGTGAAGCTTGAAAATGTTAACTACAATTCAATAAAGTTTACTCTGATAATTGGCAGAAAAATTGCAAAACGATCTAAGGGATAATACATAATTAAATCCATTTTTCTTCTTTTATTAACCTAACCCTAAAAAGACCCCAAGATCGCATCAGCATCAAGTGCCGCATTAAATTTAGATATTTTTCAAAAAATCTCCAAAATCTCCAAGAATGCAACGACTCCTCTTAACAATCCAAGTACAATTATAGGCGCTCTGAAAAATCCCCAAACGCTCCAAAAATCAACTATCATTCCCATTATACCAATAGTACCCATGATAGTTGCTATGGGTATAAATTTCCCTAACATCTCATCATTTTTCCACGCATCATTTTTCCACGCTGAATATTTTGGTGGCGGTGTATTTCTCATAAAAGGAAGAAAATATTGTATGTAAAAAAAAATAAAAAATGTTGATAGTAAGGAAAAGGTAGAAACGTAGAATAGGGTTCTATAAATTTCAAAAAGATTTAACATTCAATGTATTTCATATAATTAAGATTTTTGCCATTTTCATAAACTTTCATGAACGTACCTAACCCACCCGCCTAAAGTTAAAATTTCTTGTACACCGCTATCAACTTCAAAGTACCAAAATATCCATCCTGCCAAAATAACCCATTTAAATGAATTAATTATTCGTGATATACGAGATGAACGTTGGGTATTTGTTTTTTGTGGGTCAACTAGTGTATCTGTTATTGGTATGCTGGTGGTTCGTTTACGTAAATCTCGTTCTGTATTTCTCATTTTTCCAGATTTATCTGCGTATTATGCACTGCTTTATATAAAAAGCGGTTCTGAAGATTTTCACGTGATAGCACCAATCAGAAGAAGCCAAACTTTCATTTTGATACACCTACTGAAATGTACCCCAAAAATTTTATTACCTTTTATATATGATTTTAAAAAAGTAACCGCCGCACTTAAAATCAGCCATCGGGATTGCGGTAAGAAATTTATAAAAGCTTGAAGTTCTCTCGATTAGAACTTATGTTAATCTTAACTAAATGTTTAACAATGATTGTAGAGAAGAAAACTGCGGTTCCATTAATGGTAATATCGTCAAGATTGGTTTAGTGTATCATGAGAAACAAAGTAATAAACTTTTGCGATTTTTTAAAGTTTTTTGAAAAAGTTTTAAGTTTTAAAGAATTATGAAACTTTTTTACTTCATCTCGTGATAAACTGAATCGATTTTAATGATCTTACTACTATTGGAATTGGAATTTCATTTTTTACAATTTTAACTGGAAGTCCAAGAAAGATGGATATAATAAAAAAAAGGGTTTAATAATTTATTACAACCTATGTTTATATAAGGTGTTTCTTAATATATATATTGATGATTTTGGGACTTATAGAAACGTTTATCACTCGTTGGGAAGAATATATTTACAATTTGAAAATATGTCTTTATCTTTAAGGAAACAACTTAATGTTAATCTTAATGATGCTATCTAATTAATACTTAAGAATATCCAACATTTAGAAAATGGATTTTCAATGCAAACATTATATGGAAACATATGGGTTGTTGGTAGTCTTGGGTGTGTTACTGCAAATTTGCCTCAAAGCAATGATTTTGTTGGTGTTAAATGACATAATGTTATTTATAGTTGCAGGTTATGCAATATTTCTAGTAATTATTATTATTATTATTTTTTTTTTTTATTATTTTTTTTTAATGTTAATGGTAAGGCCATGCCTCTATCTTTATTGAATATTTAACTGAGATTTTTATATAAAGTTTAAATCTACTTTTAAAATATTATAGCAAGAATAGAAGCTCAGACTAATTTTTCTGCGACCTAAACCAACTGGAGTGGCCAAGGCTCACCTAGATTTGGATGTTAGTAATAATGTATGAGAGATTTCTAGTAATTATTTTATGAATCTAAACTATAATTATATAGCAAATACTTGTTCTTATTATTAAATTAAAAATTGATTATTAAAAATTGAATGTCAACAAACACAAATAGAAAAAAAAACATCTAGTTATTAAATATGAGTTAGTAACTTCTTTTAGATCTTTTAGTATCTTCTAGTAGAATCAACATATACAGTTTTTACAAGCATATGTTATTCTATAGATAAAAAGGTTCAGATTTTGCTAAATATTACACTTAATATACTTAATAATAATAGTAAGAAGGTCTTTATAAAATATTAAAAAACTATTAAAAAACTTAGCAGTTGGATCAGATTGTTTAATCCAATAAGGCATTATCAAAATTTTATGTTTTTTAATAGTTTAAAAATTTTTAATACTAATGTTATTTATATTTAGGTATTTCTTAAATTTTAATTATATAAAAAAAGATTTTATCAATAAAACAAACTAAGCAATTTTATATCTTTTAAGCAATTAAAACTAAAGTTCTTAAACTTATATTTTTAACTATAATAACAAAAAGTATTTATAAAAAATTACAAAATTTATTTAAGAAAAAACATAAGATGCTTATTTAGATTAGTTTTATTATATTTTTAATTATTACAATTAACTTTACTAATATTTTTATAATTGTAAGTTTTTTTTATAATTTAAAAATTAATTTATATTAATATTACTGATTTATTTTTTATTTATTTAAAGATTAGCTAAATTAAAGATGTTGAAGTAAGGGCATGGCGTAGGGATTGGAATCGGTTTAGTCGACTAAAAATTTTATATAATAAACTACTATGTTTAGTCGACTAATTAGTTGACTAAACATAGTAGTCGACTAAACCGATTCCTATCCCTAGCGTGGTGACTTAGTGAAGTGGATAAGTTGTCATATCCTCAAGTGGTAGGTTGTGAGTTCAAAACCCACTGACAGTGAAATTTGGATAATTACCTATATAATATATAGATGGTATTATGGCAATGGCATTCTGTTGATCAGTTGAGATAGGATATCTGTAACTATGATCACACCAGCATGATTGACAGGTTTGGGATATCTGTATAACCTGTTATATAAAGGAATGCAAACTGGTACTGGGTGGTGCAAACCTAAAATAAGTTCTCAGGCTGTATAAATCTGTAAAACTGGGAAGCTGGAACCCACTTGGAAATTCTGAGCAGAGAGGTAATATGGATCTTCAATGGTACTACTATAAAGGCTAGACCTAGGAAATGAATACCAATGTGAAGGATTTGGGCAGACAAGAACCTTGAATGAGGGATACTACCAACCAGGTTGCTGGATTTTAGACTGAAAAAAAAGGATATTGGGCTAGCTTTAATATATCAAAGACAGGTTATAGTCCTTTCGGGCTATCTGGATTGGGAGTCTTGATTCAAAGCAAGGGTATACTAAAAGTACTAGAGATATGCTATGAAGTCAGTGCTGGGGTCTGGGTAAACTCTGCAAGGGTAGCCTGTGTTAGTGTTCTAAAAGTAGGTAGATAGTTAACAATAGGAGGCCCCCTGCATCTTACTGACAGGTAACATACTCTGAAATATGTAACAGTCTGGAAACCAGTACAAAAAGTGTAGGTACTATATTGCTCAGACAGTATATCGATTAGGTATATATAGGAGGTTAGTTGGGGATTCCAATATGACAGAGCAGATAATCAAAGGGTTTAAATAGATAATCTCCTAGTAGATTATAGGTACATCACCTAGTATAGAACCTTAGGGTGGACTACTTAAATAGGCAACCAAAAGTTGCATATGTAACTAGTTGTACTCTCATCTCTATAAAAATAGTTGTAATAGCTAATCTGATAAAAGTCAATAAAGTATCATCACAAGTATGGCCTTTAACACAAAAAAAAAGATGTTGAAGTATTGAAGAAATAGTTTGTTACATCTTTAAAAACTTGATCTCATATACTAATAAAAAATTATTAAATCAAATTTTATATAATAATATAATACAATAGAAGTATTAAGATTTATTATTTTTTTTTTAAACTTTTAGCAGTCATGTTAACATTTTATTTAGATAACTTTTGAAAACTATAACAAAATCTTTCAAGAGCATACTCTTATTATTCTATTTCTAAATATTGACTCATCTAGTTACTTCTAAGAGCATCTATATATAATCTGCTATAGTAGATATTATCTCAATATTTATTATTTCAAATTAATTAAACCTGCAAGGTATATTACTAAATGCTTTTATAGGCTTATCATGGCTGCTAAATCTTTAAATTCCTTCTTTTCTAACTATTAAGCAAAAGAATTTTGTAATTCTTGCTTAAAGAACAATAAGATATATAAATAAAAAACTGAAAAAAAGAAGTAAAAAAAAAAGAAATTGACTACAAAATCTAAATGTATATCAAAAAAAAAAAAACAAAAAGAATAAAGAATAAAAAAACATAAAGACACTATTTTTGCCTATACTTGGTTTTAAAAATTATATATAATACTAAATAAAAAGTATTTTATATTTGCTTTATTTCTGTATTATAATATATTTTATTTATTATATAGGGAGAAAGGTTGAAGTTTTTGTTTTCTTTTTGAGTTTGATATGTATTATTCATTATAGATCATGTATGTAGTATTGTGACTTCCTTATAACTATTTTTATTAATTTGAAAAGATAAACAGTACTAATTCTTTAGAGAAAATGCACCAGATTTCTTACTTTTTAATAAAAATTTTAAGAATAAAATCCAATAATGAGAGCTAAAAAGAAAACCAAATTATGAAGAAGTTGTAAGAGTTATACTATATAGAGTATTATATCATATCAAATAACTATTTAGGCCTAAGTCTTTCTAGTACTTAACAAAGCTCTAAAGCTTATCTACTACTTTTTTGCTTAGTAGTACTTATGTCTTATACTAGAAGGCTTTATTTATAAAAATTTAGTCTTTTTTAGTTCTTTTTAGTTATAACTAATATGCAGTGAATAGCTTCTAATTTTAGTTACTCTAAAGTAGAATTTTGTTATATTTAAATATAATAACTATATAGTTTTTATAAGTTAGATTTTTAGAAAAAAGTTGATTTGAAGAATCATTAAAAAGAGTTTGTATGAATTATTTTAATTTAAATTGATTAAAATTTATTATTAATGATAAAAAAGAGTTTTGATTTAGTTTTTTTTTTTTTTAATTTTTTTTTATTTATATAATATCAAGTAGGAAAAATAGTAATACATAAGTATATCAATTGGATATAAATGTATAAGTAAAAATTATTCCTAAACTACACTATTGTTGCTATATATTAATAACATCTAGTATGATATTATCCTTTAGTTATCTGTATTTCTTAAATCAACTATTGTAATCATTAACTACAGAAAAGGGTAAAAGGAGTCCTTAAGATTATTTAAATTAATAAAAACAGTTATATATAGTGAAGTTTTGAGTAAGAGTTTTAAGAATAAAAGGATCT